AGTAGTAAAAGTAATAAAATAGAGTTCATATTTCAATTGATTTGTATTGTAAGTTGCATCTACAATTATTACTCTAAATGCTACTTTTGGTAAAAGATTAACAAAAGATGTAGTAAAAGCAAATTCTAATGTTGAATTATTAAGATCTAAAACAATATAATAATTTTTTTTTCTAATAATAGCTTAGCTGATTTAAGTTGATCATCTTCTCATTTATATTTTGTAACTGCATATTGTATCTACTAGTAATATATTTGATTTATTATTAGCAATTTATAGCCTTTTATATTTTTAGTTATAATTTGTCAATATAATTCTGATGCTGAATGAATTATATTAACTTAAATAAATTCTTTGATTTCATTATTAACATTAATATGTTGTGGTTGTGGGTGCAAATTATGATTAATGGTTTAGGTTGCAGATAAATTAGTCTAAGTTTCTTTTCTTGCTATCTTAGGATATTAAATTAAATATATTCTTTTCTTTGTATAAGAGTTATATACTCTTTTCTTTGTAAGAAAGCTGTATATTCTTTGCCTTGTAAGAGAGTTAAATTAAATTTTAATAAAGGCAGAAACATGGTCTTACTATTAATATTCAAAAAAAGCAAATTATAATTAAGCTTTACAAATACCAGAAAATTTTGTAGATAGATTTTTATAATAATGGCTATTACATTGTTTACTTTCATCATCATTTTTTCATTCTTTTTTAAGCTTACAGTGACAATTGTACCAATAAGTAAATAAAGTAGTTTTGATTTATTTGTTATGATATTTTTATGATGATCATACAAATAACCATCTCCCTTTTCACAGATCTTTATGACTTTAAGTGCAATTAAACTTGCAAAAGCATCATTTGTGTCATTTATTTCTAATTAATTAATTATTGGAGAAATATCTACGATTATATCAAGATCCTAATATATATTACTTTCTCCTTCAATATCAATAAGTTTCTCATAAACTATATATTCAAGTTTTTCAGATTTTATAGCATTTTCTTTTTGCATGAAATATTATTTAAAATTTGTTCCTCACACTTTCTTTTTTTGCTTATATTTATGCGAGTTGAACATTAAATACAAATTTTATTATTTCGAAATGTAGTATTAGGTTTTATAATTCGACAAGTCGAACAACATTGATTCGTATTTTCCATTTTGAAAAATATTACAATATTAAAAGAAAAAATTCCAACATAAATTGATATTTATTTTTATTATTACGTATTATTATTATTATTAATCAAATGTCAACATTATTGTATTTCATTAATTTTTAATGCCAGCAAATAAATTTAAACTCCAGATTTACGTGCCTGATTTTGGTGGCGATACTAGGTGGGTCTTTTATACTTGCGTGTTCATTAACAAACTAGAATATAAATTTATATTCAGCCAAAACATATATGAAAAACAATATCTTGTCCCAATTTTTTATATATGTAATATTATATATTATGTTATTTATTTACTTAACTATTTAACTACAATATTTTGTGTTATTATTAATGCACATATAATAATATACCTGTATGCTATAACTCGTGCTCTAATTAAATAATAATACTTCATATATTAAATGGATTGCTTCTCATTTGTCTATGCTTATTGAAATATGAATAAGCAGTTAACTGATAGAAAATGTTGACTTTTAAATCATAAAAATAAGTCTGTTTATTGCTTACCTAAATTGTTATCATCATCTTTATATAAACTATTATAAGCTTATTATTCATATTCATATCATTCTATTTTGTTAAAAATATAGAGAAAAAATGTATCCAAAAGCACCTTAGATGAATAAAAGACCATGAGAAGCCTTTACTTCCGAATTGTTGCCGTATTGTTGCGGAATAACGCACCTACGTATTATTCTGAGTATAGACGCGTTATTTAGAATATGTGCCAGGGTGTTATTTTGAAACAAATATAAACTTTTTAAATAAACAAAAAAGTGCTTTGGAAGTAAATTTGGTACTAAGAAAACCTATTTGAAGCACTTTTTTGGGATGCACATTATTTAGAGACATATTAGGCTTTATTTAGGGAGTACGATTTTCTAAATAATACATCGGCCTGTTATTTCATAAAAATACATTAATTGATAATTCAATAAAAACTCAATGCAATCACATGATTATATTTCAACTTAATTTATTAAAAAATACTCCTGTGACTATTACTTACAGCAACTACATCTATGTAATGTGACTCTAGTTTTAATATATTATAATTTTTAAAGGTTTTGGATTATAGTTTGAGGTTTTGGATATAGTTGGTGGTAGAATTACTAAATTATGGCATTACGGCATTTTACTAGTTGGTAGAATTAATTACAGCACAGTACCTGATTGCTGTAATTCTGTAGTGCCGTAATGCCACAATACCGCAATGCTGTAATGCTGTATTGCTGTAATGCTGTATTGCCATATTGCCATAATGCCAAAGTAATGCCATAATGCATAATATCATAGTAAATATTATAATAATGTGAAATATAACACAGTATTATTGCACAATAATATGATATTGGAGTGTCACATCTACTATTTAATTAAACTATATCAGTTAACTATAAAAGCTATCATATTGCAGATTTTTGCATTACACAAATAAAATCAAATGGTTTTGAATTTTTAATTTATCATTATACATTAAGACTATTGCTTTAAACCCGATCTTTAAAATGATTCAACTTATCGCCAAGATGTGAAATTAACTTGAAATTTTCACTATTTGCTTATATAAAATCAAAGAATAAAGCTACATTTCAGGCTTTGAGCATACCTATATAGAATATTCTAAAGCTCATTAATTAAGACCAAAAAAATTATATTAAATATATAACCTGAAAATTAATTAGGACAAAACATAGTTACTTCGAAATGGTTCAAATAAATAATTTTTAGTCAGCAGAAATCAAAAAAATAAGTGCAATATTTGTGTGAATTCTTTAGAAATTTGCGCTTTTCTTTATAATTAAATAAAGTAAAATTTATTCGATTAATTACTTTAATTTTATTGGTAACAATTTGATCATAGAAAATTATCAAGTAATTGGCATATATTTGATTAAGTAGTCGATGTGACACCACAATATGATATGGTGCGAGTGCTCTACGAACATGCATATATACAGTACCCTCAGAAAGTATTTCATAGTTACACAATAAATCATATATGAAATATGCTAAAAGATACATATAATACAGCAACATAGACTACCCCCAAGAACATATAAAAAATTGAAGACAATGCTTTTTGAAGAATAGGAAAGGCTAGATACATTGATTTCATGAATTTAATCAACAGTATTCCAAATCATACTGCTGAAGTTATTTCTAATGGAGGTTATGGTTGCAAATACTGATGCATTATTTTCAACATATATATTTTAATGATATATTGCTAAATTGGTATATTGATATTGATTATTAATTTGCTAGGCAATAAATTTACATTTTAAAAAATTTATGTTGTTTTTTTGTGTAACTGTGATATATTTTCTGAGGGTACTGTATAACTTTACAAACATTGAATACATAACTAGATAGCTGCGCAACACTATCACGCAAAACCAGGAACAGAAGATCTAAGCAGAGAACAGATTCAAGGCATTTAATATTATAAAATTAAAAGTTCCAAAATATTGTTCTCGCATTAAAATAAAATATACAATTCGATTATTACTATAAAATCGTATTATTATTGATACAACAATATTCTTTATATATGTAATATCATTAGTCATGCTATAAATTTGGACAAATAAAAGGGGCAAAGCATTGTTTTTACGCTAAAATTAAATACTTGATTTGTACTATTAACAAAGCAATTTGAACAGAATAGAAACAACCAAACTCATTATACTCTTAATAATTGTAGAATTAATAATTACAAAATAAAATTAACCAGATCATACTATTAATAAAACAATCAAAACAGTAAAGAAACAATCAAATACATTTTATGTTTACAAATTGCAGAATTAATAATTACAAGAAAATAACAATAATAAGCCAGATTTTTTTGTCAGTACATATTTATTTTAGCAAAATAAACTAACCCTTTTAATAATAGAACTAGACAGATATTAATATTAAAAATTTTAAACACGCATGTTCATTCAAATTACAAATTATTCGATTCTCCATTCACAAATAGATATCACATTCAGAATAACCAAAGAATGCATAAATATAGATAATACTAGAGATGAACGAGTTTTGATATTTTTAATGTGTGAAAAAAAAGCAAGATCAACTAAGCAAGAAATGAATGTTCAAACCTGTTCAGAAACTAGTGATAAATATAAGAAAAGTGACTCTATCCATAATAGTTACCCAATTCTAAACTTTTTAGGACTAATTTTATTTACTTTTCTTTGAATACTATTCAATTAAAAAAATCAAAGATATTCAGTAATATTACCTTACACAAAAAAAAAAGGCTAATATATTATTGTAAAAAGAAAATTGCCACATGGTATAAAGAGAGTAATTCTTTTAATATAAATAGCATAAATGTGTTGATGTGCAATATCTTGCTCATTTTCAGTTAGTTATCCATTTTTGATAATTAATTTAAGAGTAATGCTAACGTTAATGAATTTATATTATCAAATCAAAATTAGATCTCCATATTCGGAAGGGCATTTAAAGCAAGCAGGTGTAGAATTATTTTAATGTTAAGGGGTTAGTAAAACTTATAAATGAAAATGATTTCTATCAATTATCATTAGATCTTAATATTACTTTTTTTGCTCATCAATTAATAATCATAGATTACCCAAATAAGGAATCAAATAAGAGTCAATAATATTGGTATCTTCTAAATGTTTTACATAGATTAAAAAAAAAAACTTTACCCGACAATCATCAGGCAGATAACCGCAGTAGACAAAATACACACAAAAGTGTGAAAAAAGTCACAGTAAAACTATACGAAAAGGGCAAGAGCCCTTACGTCAAGGAAAAGAAAGTTGACGAGTATGGAAATGGGAAAATCAAAAAACAAAAGAGCTAAAACTCAGAGTACTGGTCCCAGGTTAGAGAATGAAGTGGTCGCAACTGATGCAACTAAAGAATATGAAATCGAGACTGCAGAACAAGACTTAAGTTTAAACAGTAAACTAAGTCACAACCTGAAGGAAATGGAGGTTACGGAACAGTAAAGCGTAGAGGTTGAAACCTTGGACTTGTTGAGTTCAAACAAGACCTCTTTGGACACGCGTTCTGAAATGGAAATACTATCGGATCCAGAAGTACTAATAGGGACAGAAGGGGAAACTTCTGGAACGAATTCTGAAAAATCAGATGATCTGCAGGACATGCAGGGTAATAATGATGAAATCTAAGCCACAGAAAATTCGGTCGTAAAGGAACCTCAACAAAAGTGTCAATAGACAAGTCTTTTCACCAAACTCCATAGAGGGAAAGCTATCTACACCACATTTGCTTCAAGGAATCACATTCGTACTAAAAACGAGAATGTTTTGATCTTTGACATTAGAAGTTTAAACAAATTCTCCATAAATGAAATAATTCTAAACATGTACACAAAAATTGGTGATGACTTCATTGCGGCCAAGCTCCATTTTACTAATGGGAGACGCACTCATATGGAAATTATTTTTGCCAATGAGGAAACACTAAAGAAATATGCTATTGATGGTATAGTGCTGTTTAAGCAGAGTATTATGGGTTATATTCCAACAAATCTCAGAAGAAACTACTTACCAGTCAATTTAAGAAACGTTCCTCTAGGACATAAAGAATTTATCTCTAACCAAATTAGAGAGGCTTTTGAGGATATAGGTTCGATTATATCCATTAAACTATTAGTATTTGAAGGAACTCCGATTAGTACCAACCAATGGGTGGTCATTTTCGAAACAACAAATAACCCAGATCTTGATAAGAGACTACCTAGACATATACACATCTGGGACTAGAAGGCACAAATAGAATGAAAAGAGGCACCCAAGGTGTGTTTCTATTGTGACGAGTTAGGACACATCAAACAGGATTGTCCTGACTACAAGACATCAATCGAACTCAGAAGTTTACAGAAAGAAAGAAAAGAGCAAGCAAGAAACAGGTATAGGAGTGAGGTGCAAAAGAACCTAACGGTGGAGACCACTACCTATAGCACTAATAATCCATATATCAAAAATCATCCACATGAAGTACAAGAAACAAGTAATCAACAAGGAGGTGACATTTTGGGTAGCAACATAGATCCTTCTACAGAAGATTCAGCTTATACCTCGCAGGCCCTAGTGGAAGAAAAAGGTCCTGAAAATTGTGACAACAGTATAGCAATTGAGACAAACAATGAGGAAATACAAATAAAGGATACATTAACCTTCCCTGTACAATCTGGCTCAACAACTGAGATATCCGAAAGTAGCATGAACGAAGACTTGAGAGATGCTTCGGGGAATATACAAGATATAATGGACGATGGTTTCACTCTAGTTACAGGAAAGAAAAAAGATAGTAGAAAAGAGAAATCCCCCACAGTAGTTCACGAAAGACAAAGCCCCTACAAGAGGCCTAAGAGAACAGAGGTACATCAAGCACTATGCTGACAATAACAATTTCACAAACAATATATAATCATGAGACAAAAATTAAAAGTAGCTACATTAAATATAAAGGGTCTTAATAATAGACACAAATATCAAAAGCTTTAATATTACTTAAATCTTACCATATAGATATAATTTTTTTGCAGGAAACCAATCTAGGGAGTGAAAGTATGAGGAGGTTTTTGGCCCAGCAATGGACATATAATTCATTTTGGTTATCCAAGGCTGCGATTTTGGCGGGTAACAAAAATGTTTGTTAAAGTGACATAGTAGAATCGCATGATGGCTGAGTTATCATGGTACAATGCAAAATTAGAGGTAAAACCATAAGGGTGACAAATGTATATGCGCCATCTAGTATAGCGGAAAGAGAAGTTTTTCTGAACAACTAGACTCCCATGCTCAACCCAGACACAATTAACATAATAGGTGGCGATTTTAATGTTAATCTCAACCTCCAAGTAGATAGATCAAGCATGGCAAAAGCCTATAGTGATCCAACAAGAGTAAAACTTAGAGACCGATTAAATGGTTTTATCAATACTACAGAAATTGCAGCAGACAAACCATTTTTCACCTTCTTTCAAACAACTAGGGGCCACCACAATATAGCCACTAGACTTGATTATATATTAATTGATGAGAATTATATCCAATACTGTAAAAAAGTGGAGACATGGTATGGGAACTCAGATCACCTCTTAGTCGAATGCGTTTTGGACTTTACACCTGTTAACTATAGAGCAACATATTGGAAATTTGAAGGTAGAAGTTTTAATAATGGAAAAGTAAGAGAAGAGGTTGTGAAGGAAATTAAAGATTTTAAGAATTTGTAGATTGGGATTTCCAAAAATGCTGTATGCAATCAATTATGTACACTTATAAGCCGCCAAATTCTCCAGAAAACTATATACAAAAGTTGAATAAAAAAATTACAAAGTTGAGAATAAAATCGGCAAATAACCCAGAGCAAACAGACCTCAACATCATGGTCGACTGCTTGTCCTCTCAACTTCAAGAGGAGCTAACCATCTTAGCCAGCAAATGGCAAACAAGATCTAATTCTCAATGGATAGAAAAAGGAGAACACTCCACCAAGTATTTTTTTTTGCGTTACAAAGCAAGACATATAATAAACGCAGTTTCCAAAATTCGTATCCTGGATGATCTCAGTGAAGTTTAACCCAGTAAAATTGTAGAGTACATCAAAAACACGTATGAGAATATATATGAAAAAGAGGCTATTAACTGGAGATCTGCTGAGGAACTAATGGCGAACTTACCAAAGATCTCTGATGAACATAATAATGCCTTGCTTAAAAGAAGCACAAAAGAGGAAATTGAGTCTATAATAAATAGCCTCCTGAATAATAAAGCTCCGGATCTCGATGGTTTGACCTATGAATTTTATAAAGCCACTAAGGACGACATAATATCGGCTTTAGAGCGTTTGACGAAATCCTAGATAGGGGCATCCTATCTAAATCTTGGACTAAGAATATAATAACGTTGGTGCTGAAGAAGTCTGAGAAACTGGAGGAAGTAGGCAACTGGTGCCTGATCTCTCTTATAAATAACGACTATAAGATCTTTATGAAAATACTAGCCGTTGGACTTAGTATAATATGTGGGGAGGTGGTAGGTAACCACCAACAGGGGTTTATAACTGGTAGATCCATTACGGATATGGCTTTGAACATTATAACAACCCTAAGGAATCAAAAAGATCAAACGAGGCAGCACTGAGTTCTTTTTTTAGATCAGGAAAAGGCTTTTGATAATGTGAACCATCAATTCTTGCAGCTCGTTTTGGAAAAAATGAACTTCGCCACGAACTTTATACAAATAGTTAAAATTTTATTTTTGGAACAATCGGTATATATATCAGATGCTGGGATATTATCTGAACTATTCAGGATCAATAGAGAGGTGAGACAATGGGACCCCCTATCTCCCTTATTATATATACTGGCATTTGAACCCTTTCTCCGCACCATCAAAGCAAATTTGAGAGGTATCCAAATTAACAATGATTGTTTCAAGGTTGTAGCTTACGTGGACGATATGACAGTTGGCTTAGGTTCTTGAGTAGACTGGGACAACTTTCACACTATTACAAAAAAATACGAAGAGGCATCAAACACTAAAATTAACTGTAGAAAATCAGTAATAGTCCCTCTTATGGACAATGCTAGAAGAACAGAACTTGAAGGGGAAGGTGCTTTCAAAAAACTAGAAGAGGGTGAAAGTATAACGGTGTTAGGTTGCACATTGGATATCACAGGGAAAATAGACAAGAATATATGGCCAAATCTTATAGGAAGGGTAAAGAGGATAACAGAATCAATGACCTCTAGAAACCTGTCGTTTAGGGGGAAAATTTTATTAGCAAAATCCATTCTACTCTCTCGCATCTGGTACACAGTGTATATACAGCCGCCGAGCTATAAACAGGTTAAGGTGCTTAATGAGTTGATATCAAATTGGATAAAGGACAAGTCCAGAACCCTACCGAGAATGTCGATTTACCAACAAGATTATGAATTAGGTGGGCTCAAGGCACCTATTATTGAACACATGATTGATGCTAGGCTTACGTCCATATGGACAAAATTTCTGACATCCGACAATATGTAGTCAAGAATAGAGAGAGGCATAATTGCTAATAGGTTAAAAAATATACATAACATGAGCATCAAAACTGCACTCAATTCCATCCCTATTAGAGTAAGAGGGTGACCAGAACACTAAAAAGCATATGTTAAGGCATGGAGGAAGCTAGAAGGAAGAATAGAAGCAACTACAGAAAATGGTCCATAGAACTTAACAGATTTAGAAATTGCACAGGCATGTGGGGAAGAATACTCGATAAAAAATGCAACGGCCTTTCTGAGGAAGAAGTTTCTGTCCCCAACAGCCGCCCTATCAAACCAAGGAGCATCTACACGATCGCAAAACTATTGGATATGGTCCAATAAATGCACAATAGAAAATAAAAAGAAGGATGTGTTTTGGTGCTTGATACATAGATCCCTACCACTAGAGTACAGGATAATGCATTTCTCAAACATGGAGAATGGTAGCTGTCCATACTGTCCAGGAATCATACAAACATTGGATCACTTCTCATCCAAAGGTAAAATCAGTAACATTGTGTGAAACACTCTGTACGCCACTATCTCAATTATTGGTATTTCCTTCTACTTCATTGGAAGAGGCAATTAATATTAGTAGCATAGGAAATTCTGGAGAAAAAAACGCGTTGAATTGGTTACATATCTTCGGAATTTACGAAATCTGGTTCTACTACACACAAGCTAGATGGGGAACCACGCCAATCCCAGAACCCGTGATTCAACTTTGTACACAGAGTTGGTTACCAAGGGCTCTAAAGGTGTTACAAAAGGGAACAACAGGGGGTCAGAGTATACCCCGTTACATAAAAGTATAATAATTAAGGATAGAATAAATAGCATAATAATAATAATATAAAAAAAAAAAAAAAAAAAAAAAAAAAAAAAAATTTACATTTTATCGCCATATCCCCGATCACACATGTAAATAAGATAATTTGTCATTCTAAGTTTTGTAACATAAATGAGATCATTTTAAATAAATAAAGAAAAGAACGCCAATGGCGTCCCATGGCAGCATTGCCAAAGGGTCATGTAAAAAAAAAAAAAATGTTTTACATGAATGACCAAAAAAAGAAGGCAATAAAATGGGGTTTTTTGTTTTTTTTTTTTAATACGCTTTAGCTAGTTACTATCAATTACAGGTACCAAAAATTCTATTCGTATTGTACAGTAAATATCATTTATTGTTCTTCATTACATCATTCATAGTTCCGTTAGGTTAGACTCTTCTTGTCTTTTGAGTTCTTTTACATACCGGATAAATCGATAATTTATAATCATATCAAAGACATCTGCAAGATCTTTTTTCTTTTTTTTATCAAATATTTCATTTGACAAAGAAATAATTATAAATCATTGGTTAACGGAAGCATATAGCAGCTAAAAATACTCAACATACGTATCTAAATATTCATTCACAGCCCACATTTTAACGAAATATAATTCGAATTAGAAATAAGATTTTAATTAATCAGCCTCCATCGACAGAACTTCCAGCATGCATATACACACACATAAAGGTTTAGTACATAAAATAGCAAGGCACTGTCGAATCATCTCTTGGCAGCATACAATGCGATACTTGATATGCGAAAAATAATGCGGACCAAACAGATCTAAGATTTTGCGGAGTAACATCAATTTTGATCGTCATATAACCATACACTACGTGATTTCATCACTCCATTCCTGGTATGGTCAAAAGGGACCTTATCATTTTCCGAACAACCAGCCTGCATTAGATAAGGGTTGGTGTTAGTTCCGGTTAATTCTTGTCGGGATTTTGTTTGTCGGGAAAATGATAGAGATCCATGGCTGAATCTAATTAGTAAATTTATTTCATGGTTGAAAGTACTTTAAAAGTTCATATCGGCAGATTCGTGGAATTGGGATTA